CCAAAAACCTTTATAGTCTCATAGACAGCATCAACATTTATGGATCCCACTGCTTATGCTAATCTTTTTTGCATACACTATTTATAGGTCCCACTGCTTTCTATTTTGTTTTGTTTGGCTAGAGTTAATTAATGTAAGATTCAGGACTTGATTAAAGCAAGGCAGGCACATGACAAGTTGATTCACAATTTATTTACAATTAGTCTCATGCCACTTCAGTTATATGACTTAAGTTAAACTCATTATACAAATGCTTGAGTTAAATTCGAGTAATTATATGTTATATTTAACTAGATACAGAATTAAAATTTTGTACATGACTTGTGAGGATATAATCGACAACGAAATCCGATCCTAGGAAATGAGACATGGATTAATAGATATATTTTTTTCGTGGCTAAAGTTGAAGAAGTTCAGGTAAGATAGGCGAAAAATAAGATACGCAACAAGGCAGACTATTGGAGACAATCAGACAAATTTTCCAAGCATTCCCATTACTGAGTTCTGGAAATGATTTCTGTGGACCATCGTCCATAAATTTAGCAGAAAAGCAATATTTATTGCTTCAGTTTGTCCATATCTCTCGCACATTGGACATGTTGGTTTACCTTCTTGGACCCCCTGGAAAAAGTTTTCCATGCATTTCCAACGATCTTCTGACATTGACTGTTGCATATCCACCGCAGTCAAAAATCGCAAGATCAAGTACCCAACTGGGACCAAACAATGATTCTATTATTAAATTTCTCTTGGTTTTATAATTTCTAGATGTTTGATAATTAATGCTGGGAAAATTCGTTGCAATTCATCAGCTTTCCAATTTTTTTTTTCAGGTTTATGTTATAAAATTGAGCTAGGCAATTGAGAAGGGACTTGCCAATTTGCCAGAACCAACCAAGCTCCAAACTAGTGCAAGAAGCAACCATATCATGCCACGTTAGACCAATGTTCTATAAACAAAATAATATTATTATATTGCCCTTGAGCTCACAAAATTGAAAACGACTTGTTAACAT